GATAATTGGGATTGGAGTGTCAGAGACAGTGCGATTGGCACAGGACAGAGTGGAGTTTAGGGCTGTTGTACATAGGGTCGCTATGAGTCGCAGGCGACTCAACAGCACATAACAACAACAACAACAACATATATTGTTTTATTGTAATAGATTTTTAAAAGAGGATTCTATTAGAGGCGATAGTCACATTGTTATTACTTTATTTTTCTTTAAAAAAATTTACTTTTATTATCTTTTTTTGTGTGTACTGTCAAATCACATCTGACTGGTACAGGAGGAGATTGTCCCTCCTTCTCCAGCAGAGTATCTGGTGGATTTAAACTGCTCACCTCTGGGATTGCAGTGCAGCTTCTTGCCACTAGGCCACTAGAGCTCACCACATTGTTAGTATTTTCTAAAGAATTTGTACCAATCTGCAGAGTTAACAGTAATGTACAAGAATCTAATCACAAGAATCTAATTTTTATCTATGGCCTTATTCATCTGCATTGGATACAGAGTAGCCTTTAAAAAGGAGTTTGGATGGGAGAGAACAAATGCAGAAAAATTATCAGCAGTCTAAGTATAATAGATCAGCCAACTACTCTAAAGTAAATAAATATGGACTTCAATAGAGCCAACAGTTTGCTAAGCCCATCTTTTATTCCCACCTATTCTTTCCTTGTGGTAAGGAGTTGTATTGCCAACCCAGGGGTAGGTGGTTCAAGTCTACCAGTAGCTGTGTGGGAAAAAGATGGGCGGGGGGGGGGGGGTCTTCTCCTATACAACTTACAGCCTTTGAAAACCTGCTGAGGTGGAGTCAGCTACAAGTCAATTTTGACTCACTGGCACATGACAACTACAACTTCTTCTTTTTACCCATCACTCATACAGAATTTTTTTTCCTTTACAGTTTTCCTTTACTCAGCTAACAAATTTTGCCAGGAGGCCAAAAGTACATACTATTGGTTGTTGTTGCTGTTGTTAAGTGCCATCGAGTTGCAGGCGACTCATAGAGACAGTATGAAAGAGAGTCCTCAACACTTACTTACTCTATCAGTATTGGTGCATGTACTTTACTTTGTGTGTATGTGTAAGTCTATGTATATGTTTGTGCATATATTAGTATTTACCACTCTTAACCTATGCACACTTCTGTCAGAGATCTTTATGTTTTATTGTAAAAACATCTGTTAATACAAATAATGGGGTCAGGAATGAGGGGGAAAATTACTCATTATTTGGTCGATATCATGATAACTTTTTAAACGCCTGCTTATTATTCTTTGCTTATTTTTCTACTAGGATCCCAGTGTTCCTCTTAGCAATACACGTAACAGAAAAGTATTTCCTAATCAGTTAGCTCTTTTATCAATGTTAACAAATGTACTGATTCTCTGTGTGTGTGTGTGTGTGTGTGTGTGTGAGAGAGAGAGAGTGTGTGTGAGAAAAAGAGAGAGAGAGAGAGAGGGAGGGAGGGAGGGAGGGAGGAAGGGAGCGCATATATTCTGTTTTTAGGCTGAGATGTTCCTCATCCAAGCCACAAGTTTTTCAAGCAAAGAACAAAAAAGGAATGCATAACCTTGGAGTGTCATGGCATAGAGTGTTCAAAGTTAGGCGAGCTCTAAAACTAATCTGAGGAAAAGGACAGGGATTGGGTTGCAGATTCCACTTTAGGCTCGTTAGTGGAAAGTCTGAATTACCCATTCTACTTAAATATCAAGGATAAACCAGCAAGTTAACTGGAAATTTGCATTACCCTTTCTACTTATACAGCAAGGACCAACCAAAACTGGTGAGATCCACAGACTGGAATGAAAATGAAACTCAAAATTGGCTATCCACTGCTCTTATACATCCAACATCTCCTGCAGGCTTGTAGCAGACTTCCTCAGGTTCTCTTCCCTCAGAGACAGTTCCCCTCTTTGGGCGGTCAATTCTGAAAGGACCAGATTTTCTGGCATGGGTGTTTCATACAGTGGCCATATCACCATACTGTTACGGATGACTTGAGGGATGACAGATCACAACAGCAAAAAATGGTGTGATTTTTCTCCCCCCCCCATATACACTTAAGTAGAAAAGCTAGAGTCTCAGCTTTAATTATAGCCATGAATAAGAGAAGTGTATAAAATAAGTGAGGACCACACATACCTGATTTCGAAGAGGCTGCTGTTGTGATGGCCGATCTCTGTGTGTGTGGCTCTCTCGAGTTATTGCAGATGCACCAGAATCTACATGAACTGACCCTACAGGAGTAGGCTGAAAAATTAAAACACACCGTCAAATGGAGACGATGTGTACAGCACAATGCCTCTGCAAAGGATATCACCATCCTAATTGTAGCAGTCTCATAAAAACTCACTGCTGTTAAGCGGGAATTGACTCACAGCTAACACTCCACTAGGTTTCTGAGGCTGTAAACTGCATGGCAGAAGATTGCCCATTTTTAGTCAGTGGGGCCCCTGGTGGATTTGAACAGCCCGACTGATTCAGCCTCTGGGATGATAGTGTAACTCCCTATAAACTATGCCATCAGAGTTCCCTTATCAACAGAGCAGTGGTAAGCTACCAAGAGCAATTCTAAGTCTTCTGGTCTTCTCAGTCTGGTCATTTCTAAGAGGGAGGTAAGTTGGTCTACAGTTCATTGAAAATATTGAAAATTGTCATTTGAAAATATAGAAAGGGAGCTCTGGTAGCCTAGTGGCAAGACCCTGCACTGCAATCCCAGAGGTATGCGGTTCAAATCCACCAGATGCTCTGCTGGAGAAGGAGGGGCAATCTCCTCCTGTACCTGTCAGTACCTTTGACGGTACACGTAAAAAAAATACAATGAAAATATAGAATCATCTAGTATTACCTAGTACCAGCATGATCTGAGGTTGGTGGACCCCTGGCCAGAGCAGCAAATCCAAGGGGACCCTATAATGCTGTGTTTCACTTTGAAAGAAGCCAAGTACTTTACCAGCTTAAGGAGGACCAACTTTGGAATCACACAAATGATTTTTCTCCCCTAAAAGATAGGATTTTAATATTGGTATCTTAGAAACATATGGACCATGATATTATAAATATAAAGGAGAGTCATTCCTATTTCCTAACTAATAAGAGCGAGCTATTTCATTATGTCAGGAGTCAAAAGAATGTTCTGTTCTAAAGATCAGTAAGTAAGAAGATGAAGGAATGATGGTCTAAGAATAGAGGTGACACAAGTAAAGGAAAAATACTTACAATTGGCCTCCCAACCCAATCATAGGCGTAGTCAAAGGTGTAGCCTTTCCTTTCAAAGAGGTCTGTGAAGAGGGTCCGCAAATACTCATAATCAGGTTTCTCAAAGAAGTCTAATCGCCTTACATATCGAAGGTAGGTAGCCATCTCCTCTGTTAGGGAAGAGGTAAAAGGACATGCTTACTCACCAAAAGCTTCCTATTGGGGAATCTCTACAGCAAACAAAATATCTCTGTAGACTATTGGACAATGTTTTCTTCATGGGTCAAATGACATGATTACAAAATTACCTTGGTTTATATAATAATAAAAAGAAATGCAAATCAAACAACACCCTTATCGGGAAACATCAGTTGCTACCTACTTCAAAATTTCAGGCACATTAGTGTAAGTGTCCTTTTTAGCATCCTACCTGGAAAGTTCTCACAGAGAGCTTCGATAGGAGTGTTTCTTTTGGTATCACCAATCTTTTGATATCTTTCTTTTAATGTATCAGCCTGTAGAGAGTGGAGATGAGGTGTTAAGTATAGGAGATCCAAAAGGTTTGAGGATACAACAGTTGTTTCATGTGAACTGGAAGGACTTGTGTAAATTTTTTTCTAATACTAACATAACTGTAACACAGAAGTATTTAGATACATACAAAAACGTATGCTATAAAAAACCAACACAAAGTATGCTGTAATCTGAAAATTTTATTTGCAAATGTATTTAGTAAGCTTAGATAAATACCACCAAATTTACGGAGACAAGTGGCTAGGATAAGAATGAAAAATATTACACAGAAAGAGTTTCAAAATTGCATAAGTTTTGTAATGTTTCATTGTCACTGGAGATCAATTCTAATTCAATTGTCCCCTTTATATCAGTTTTATAAGTCTTATTAACGTGTTTAGAGAAGTGGAATAGGAAAAAAACAAGAAAGGGGGGAATGTCTTTTAATAATATGCTTCTGGAGGGAAAACTATCATCTTTAGTCATCTTCATGATTTAGGCCTACCTATTGTTGTTCATCCTGGACAGGGTTAAACTGGGTGGCTCCTTGGAGGCAAGGATTCTGAGGCTCTGTCTAACATACTTTGGACATGTTGTGAGGAGAGACCGGTCCTTGGAGAAGGATATGATGCTTGGGAGGGTGGAGGGACAGTGCAGAAGGGGAAGGCCCTCTATGAGGTGGACTGATTCAGTGACTGGGGTAATCAGGATGGGTGTTGTCAGAGACAGTGACTGGCACAAGACAGAGCAGAATTTAGGGCTGTTGTACATAGGGTCGCTATGAGTCGCAAGCGACTCGATGGCACATAACAACAACAGCATTGTTGTTCACAGCGTCATTATGAGTTTTAGTTGACTCGAGAGCACCTAATTACAACAGTAAGAATTTAGGTATGTCTAACAGATGAGTTTAGTATAAGCCAGTGGAACAAAGCAACCCGTGTATGGTATGCTCAGAATTGTAGATAGAAGGTTCCTTGGTCCATCAGTGGATTCTGAACAAATTTTCATGAGGCTCTACCTAGCATGCTGTGCTTGTCTGTAAAAAAATTATTCTAGAGTAAGTTGGCAAATTTTAGATGTAGAACTGCGACTAAAATGATCCAAAGACTAAGAAATGTTTGTAAGAAAAATTCAAGCAATTGATTATATACTAATTATTTTGCTATATGTGAATTAGTAGCACATGAAACTGTATCTGAAATCTGAGTATCAATGAGAAGCTATATGTGATTAGAAGATTATGGAGGCAATGCCAGAAGAGGAATTTAAAGGAAAGAAATAAAATCACCCCAAAGAGAAAAGGTAGAAACCTTAGTTTTCATGACAATGTCTTAGAAAGCACAGCAAAATGAATTATTTTGCCCTCCTGGAAAGATAGCATGTAGCAGTTCCCCAAGTTACTGATTTACATTTCTTTCCTTATTAACATGCTGAAATAAATTAGAATTCATAAATAAGTCTCACTTTTACTTCCCTAATGAGATTTACTAATTCCTAATATGAAAGCCTCAGCACAAAGCAATTATAATGCTTATAATTATAATAATTAGTAGTTAATTCTGATATGAAAGCATTGTACTGACACCTACACCTAAGGAAAATGGTTAAAATCCTACATGCTTCACAAGAAATGGCTACTGTCTGAGTAGACACTTGTTCAATAAAACACTTGAACAGCAATGTTAACCCCAAATTTTTATTTTATTTCAGGTGGGTCTTTAGTCTACACAGGATGAACAAATATTTTCCAATTTCCCTCAGAGGCACTGCCAGGCTTGATGGCCTTGCTGGTAAAGTGTGGAGCAGCTGCTGTCAACAATTTGTTCCAGAAATTCCCTGACACACTGGGAACACTCCTTCTGCTACATAATGGTAGTGGGGGAGGGATACTGACAGAGAGAAAAGCAGCAACTGCCAAGCCTGGGAGGGAATGAGGGAAAAGATTGCGGAAACCCCTAAAACAAGGAAAAAAGGATTACAAGAAGGAGATGACAAAAGTGAGCAACAAAGAGCTTCTAATGCCCAGGTGAGCGCTCACAATGCTAACAAGCCCCTCCTTCTCTTTCTGTAGTCAATCTTCCCCTTTGTGCTTCTTCCAGGCATCCAGTCCCTAACAACCGAGCATGGAAACAAAGCCCTCCACTGAGCACTTTCAAGATACCTTGAGTCCTTGCCAGGGTAGGCTGCCTCGAAGGAAATACATGAACATATGGCCTAGGGCTTCCAAATCATCCCGCCGGCTTTGCTCTAAAAAGGAAGATAGATCACACATTATGTTTGCAGTTATTAAAGCAGAAAAGGGTTCAAAACCAAGTAATCCCTTCAGAAACCATTCTGCTTGGGAAAAGCTCTGTTTACTAATTCTTTGTCTATCTAAACCAGGGATAGTATTTTGGATCAAAACTAAATACATTATGAAGCTCCTTTTCCTAGATCTGTCATTGCTGTGTAAATAACAAGTAGAAACAGCAAATCCTAGACTCAAAACCCAAATCATTGAATGGTAAGCACCCATTTTTAATCTAATGCTGTGACCTTCCTGAATAAGAGATACTGGAATAAAATGTCATTTCCAGTGTATGGGCTACATTTACCCTTTAGTTCCTGCCTGGAGAAATGAGCAGCAGAATAAACAGCTGATGCTGTTCAAACAGCCCCTTCTGGCTAGGCCTGCAAAGATATAAACTGCAGAATGTCTAATATACATGCTTAGTGCTTTATATTCATCCTAAAATTCACTTTCATATAGGCAAACAGCAATTTGTAATCCCTTTATTTTCATTCCATTTGTCTCATGGTCATAACCATCTTATGAAAACATAAAATTGATTACTAAGGTGCCTTATCTGGGCACATAGAACAGAGTCCCTATATTTTGTGAGTTTATCATCTGCAAATCACAAGGTGTTCCTTCTCTGCAGTTGCGAAGATAAAGATGTTAAGTAATTACAGAAGAGTTAACAAAATAGCAACTTCATTTCACAAAATGTCTTAGACAGAATAAATATAAAATGCCTTTGGTAATCAGTCTAGACATAAGCAGAACCTGCCTGAACTTCTAGTCTGCCATTGTGGGTCACAATTCATTTCAGACTTTTATGTGTTTGTTTTTCAGAATCAAGTTCAGGCTCTATCAAAAGAAATTACAAAAGCATGACTACAAGCCAGTTAAAATTAGATTGTTCTTGCTTTGTGTAGAATGTAAAGCTCAAGAATTAGATAGGCAGAAAGCCAGCTAACTAATAAATTCAAAATTGTAAAACATATTTAACTGCTGCCTCTAGTTACAGGGAAATTTACATGAGAAAGACTGAATAGTACTCTACAGGGAAGATGCAGAAAGAAAAGGTAACTGCCTAACTAGCAATTTGAAGGAAATCTTTGGAAATGTGGTAACTGATGGAAATCAGGGGTGAGGGTAGGGTGGGCTTACAGACAAATACTTAAGACTGGATTGAAACACTGAAATCATCTTTAAAAGAAAAATAAAACAGCAAGACCACTGGAAACTTTTGTGTACTTGGCTTCCCTAAAGTGCAATAAAATACTACACATATAATTGAAAGGGGGGAAGCTATTAGACAAAACCAGCTTGTGAACAGAATTGAAGGATGAAGAAATAAAAAATACAAAGAACCAGCAGGGTGAGTAGAAGCCTCTTACAAAGCAGGCAGAAAGGGAAACCACATCCTGCAGTTTATCACACAGTATCACACCTACTCATCCCCCTCTCCATTTTTCTATCCACTTCCTGTAAAAAGAGGGCCCTTGGCATAAAGTCCTTGGACAAATGATGGCAGTTTAGTAAATTAAGCACTAGAGGGCGAAATTTTCCACATTATCATACTGATTTGCACACTTTGAACCATAGAAAAAAGCCTGCTTTCTATTCAACAGCAAAGCCCATAATAAAATGAGATTTATAAATAATAATTAAAAAACCTCCACTGGAGTAATAAAGTAACAACCAAATCTGAAAAACACAGCTGTGGAATTTCAGATAATAGAAAAAGCCATGGTTCCTGAATCAGGACATCTATGTATTGTCTTATCTTTTCCATTAATATAATCTATGTCTATGCTGGGAATGATAAAAATGAAGAGGAATAGCTCTGCTGGAGAAGGAGGAACAATCTCCTCCTGTACCAGTCAGATCAGATTTGACGATACACATACACAAATAACAATAAAAAAAAATGAAGAGGAATAATGGGGCATTCACAGTTAAAATGAATTTTCAAAATCTATCCTAAAGTACAAAGCCATGATAGGGTACTATCCATATGCATACAAGAAAGACCTGTTGGTATAACTATTATTCAAATATGAGTATCAAACACTAAAGTAAAAGAGAAAGGAACTGAGGCCTTTCATCAACCTAGCTTAGTAGTAAGAAACTGTACTACTAATCCAAAGGCACCGGGTTAGAATCCACCAGCTGTTTCACAGGAGGAAAAATGAGCAATCTCCTCCCACGCACCTGCCTCTGAAAACCCAGTGGAGGATCAGGTATTGATTACAATTCAACAACACACAACAAGCAACATCAACTTTTAAAGTCTGAAACTGATTGAATGAACAAGCAATCAAAATACATTAATAGTAATTGGTGACTACAAAAAAAGTTGTAAATAAAGAAAGAGGCCTGGCAGGTGTAAAATATGGCTGTGATGACAGAAGTGAAGCTGGAGATCAAGTAACAGAATGTTGTAAAGTTAATGACTTATTTATAGTAAAAACCTGCTTTGAAAAATAAATAGTAACTATAAACATGGATTTCACCTGATGGACTACTCATAAATCATACTAACTACATCTGTGGAAAGAGGTAATGTAGAGGAAAACTCAATTATATAGCAGTTAAAAGAAGGCTACTAGTGGCTGATTGTGGAATAGACCATCAATTACTCATTAGCAAGTTCAAACAGAAATTAGAGAAACTGAAAACAAGTTCACAACAATCCAAACACAACCTTGAGTCTATCCCACTTGAATTAAAAAAAATTTTCTCATGAAAAAGATTTGATGATAATAACAACAAAAAGGATTTGATGCATTCAAGACAAACTGATGGAAGACCAGATGAGTTGGGGGGATGATATTAACTACGAAGGAGGCAAAAGGTCATTGTTACAAAGACAGGAGAGAAAGAAAAGATCTCATGGACTGCCAAAAGAACAAATAAATTTGTCTTGGAAGAAGTGAAACCAGGGTGCTCCTTAGAGGCCAGGACAGTCAGACTGTCTCACATACTTTGTTCATGTTATCAGGAGATAGTTATTATGCTGGGAAAGGTAGAAGCTCAGTGAAACAGAAGACAAACCTCAATGACATGGTCTGACCCAGTTACTGTTAACAAGGGGCTTAAGCAAGTCAGAGATGGTGAGGACAGTACAGGAGAGGTCAGAGTTCACACTTGCTGTTCCTGGAGCCAGTATGAGTCCTGGTTGACTCAACAGTACCTAACAACAACATGCAACATTTATCACGTCAAAGTCATCTACCTTGAGTTTAATTTTCCTTATTTGAAAATAAAGTGGCCAATTTATCATCTGTAAAGCTAGTTTTTGAAAGCCAAGTTCAAAAGCTAAAATTCTAAAATATTCTAGGATAATTCACTAGGGCCTTTCAAAACCAAAATAAGAATGAAAATGAGCGTCATACTTTATAGCAATACTTCTTTACACACTCTGCATTTGTTTTTGCACATGCTTTCACTTTTTATGTAGGCTCTTTTCCTTCTCAAAGAATGGTTTCATATAAGTAAGAACATTTTTAAAAGTCTTGCTTTAAACCAAATAGAAATATGTGCGTGATTTTTATGTATCATATCTCTGATTATAGGTAAAATATATTTTATTTAAAGAAACGGGCCGTGTTTTCATGAAATTTCAATTATTAAATAACAAAGTAAGCTAAGCTATCTTAATTATGATTTAGTCAGTGTGGGACGGTAGCTACTTTTGATCTCCAATGGAGATACTAGTTTGGTGTCCTTTTTAGAACTGTAATATATAAGATCACAGGTAAATAAAACCAAACTAATTACTAAACTCACTAAAATAATATCATCTTAATTTAAATATTCAAATACCTGTACTGCTGAGAAACCAAGGACATGGAAACAGTGTAAAGAACCAAAAATCCACATTGTCATAGATTACAGGAAAGTCAATAACTTACCGTCTTATTTTCTCAAATATAAAAATCACTTACCTTGTGAAGCATCAAGAATCACAAGTGGTATCACACAATGGGGGATAAAAGTGACACTGTTATAAAATATTTTAATGATCAGCTCCTTTTGAAGAGCAGAAAATGAACACACCTTTGCCAAGATGCGTGTTGATAGACATATATCTTGCTGTTCCAGTTAAACTTTTGTGTTCCCTATAAGGTATATGTTTTTTGGTTTCAGGGTCAATGTATTCCTTAGCCAGTCCAAAGTCTATAATGTGTATAACGTGTTCTTTCTTATTGCCTTGCCGACCAATCAGGAAGTTCTCTGGCTTGACATCTCGGTAAATGAGATTCTTTGAGTGTACATATTCCATTCGAGAAAGCTAAGAGAGAAGACAGAGGAAAGATTAATACTCTAAAGAAGTACGCTTGTTGTTATTGTTGTGTACCATAGAGTAGGAACTGACCCATACCTGACTCTCCAGTGCGTTTTCAGAGGCAGTTAATTACATGGGAGGAGAGTGCCCATCTTCCCATAAAGAAGTATGCTAGATAAAAACAAAACAAAACAACTCCCCCAAAAAAACCCCACAAAACATTTTCTCTTATCAACTCTAAATGCTAATAACAGAAATAAAAATTTTAAAATTATCTCTTACTCACCATCCAGAGTTACTTTATTGATTTGTAAGCTAAAATAAAAAATATTTTCTGACAGCAAGTTTAGGCAAATGGTACAGTTCAGCTAAAATGGTAATACATCTCTTAACGTCACAATGTGGAAACGATAAACAGAACTGGCTACATTAATGATACTTCAAAAGTTAAACATTTGAGAACAAACACAGACTTCCAGGTAGGATAGCAGAAGAGAGATACGTTCACCACCTGAGACAGAAGCCACTGTCACATCCACCTCCTGCCCAGATCCCTCTTTATTCAGTCAGATGGATTTTCCAATACAGTTCTCTTTTATATGAAGACGAAAAGTGAGGCCCAGATGGCCTGATGACACACAGCTAATCAGCAGCAGAGTTAAGACTGTAGTTTTCATATTAAATTAAATATAATTCAAAGCAATAACTATTATTGTCCCCAAATTTCAAGTTATTTCTCACAAAGCTTTTCTATTTAGTATAAAAAGGGAAGCTTAGGTGGTTAAAATTTTGGACTCAAAAGTTAGGATAAATTTTCTAACATTTCCAAGTTACTACTAGCCAGCGGGAGAGAACATCACTACACTTCAAACAAAGTATGTGTATCCATATTGGCAGATAACAGACTTCACAAAGGAACTGCCTCAGCTGCTCCCTAGTTGACACTAGCGTGTGATCTGGTGAGTGCTGCCGAAAGAGCTGTTGATAGCTGTGTCAGGCTCTATAAGAACTGGAGCCCAGAGAACTAACAGGTTCTCTGCCACACAACTTCTGAATCTCAGTGTTACAACCCAGTCTTTTCTTGGAAGGAACAGTGAAGGGATAGGCAGAATAATGACAAAACCTTACAGCTAAACGTTTAAAGCCTATAAATAAAACAAACATCAAATAAATTACTTATATTTGTATATCTTTACCCCATCATACTCTTTCTTCCTAATTTATATTATACACTTGAACTTCAGTTAACAGTAAGGTACTGCTCCAAGGTGCAGATTCTTAAAACAGAGCAAACTGCAGAAGTAGTATAACTTCTCTGGATTAACTGTTCCTGTCCCAGATAGTTTCCTAAAATGTTGTCAAGCCTGCAAACAGCCATTCACTAGTTGTTACCACAGATGGTGAGTCATCATCAAAGGCCCACAAGGATGTGGTGGAGGAAATTGCCTTTCCTCTTGCAAAGTAGCAACAGCAACTTACCAACTGGATGGCTATCATTAACACCGTCTTTAAAGTAAAAGTTCGGTCACAGAGGTCAAACAAGTCCTCCAAGCTAGGGCCAAGAAGTTCCAGCACCATGGCATTGTATTTCCCACATGGTCCAAAGTAATATACCTGTGGGAGACCTTCACCTACAAGGAGAAGAAAAATGGGATACAGGGTGGGAGACACAGAAACAAAACCATAAGAAAGAGCACCAGCACTGAGTAGATATAAAAGAAAGTGCAATCTGTGAGATTTCCATTTCCCTTCATAGTTCCTATTAGGAACTTAAAACTACCAAAATAGCTTCAACGGGAATATTGGTAGAAAGGGTTAAGGCATCACACAGTATGTTCAAATAAGCAGTTATTTAATAGTATGGTATCAAAGGCATTTCTACTGGTATCTAAGACAGAAAATAGTCCGTGATCCATTACTGGATCAGAGGGTGAACTTCTTTCTCCCCAAAGGATGCCGGAATTGCAGTACCATAAAAGGTTCAAAGGCCAGTTCACTGAGTTCAAAGACCAAGCTAACAGATCTTGTTGCATTAGGTGGTTTCATATGAAGCCAAAACCACAGGAGTAGTTTACAACTGTTGCTCAACTCAGATTAAAGGGGTGAGGTCACAGAGGGTGTGGATGGTCCCCTGGCCGGCACAACTGGCCTTCTCACAGCAAGTCTCTGCAGTTTTCCTGTTTTCTATCAGCTGAAAAAGTCAACAAACACTCAGGACTTGGTTGCTGATAAGTAATCAAGAAAGAAAAAAGAAAGGCACTAGAGCTGATTTTCCTCAGATTTGCAATTCATAGTTAAAGAAGTCAAAATATCACTAACATTCTCTTTAACAAGCTGTTTATGCTTGGGTTTCATTTTTTCAAATTGTTACACATTTTCTTCCTCATCTTCCCTCCCTTCTCCCCCAGCCCTCCCCTCAATCCACCCCTTGTTCCAGACTGTTGTCATATTGTTCTGTTTTTTAAAAAGTTTTATTTTATATTGGTTTGCATACAAAATTAACATACACTGTGTTTCACACATTCATTCATTCATTCATATTGTATTTCATATGATCATTCCCAAACACTGTGTTTTATAAAATTAATCACCATTGATCTATGCCTACTATTTATCTTTCTTTGAGGATATATTTTTTTTATCTTATATTGGTTCCATACAAAATTCATATATTGTGTTTCATTCATATACATTGTGTTTCATACATTCCTTCATTAACATTGTGATACATTAATGATTATTCCCATACCTTGCAATTTATATAACTAATCATTGATCTATGTCCTCTATCACCCTGTCCCCTGTCTTTTCATATTCCCAACTACATCTTTCCTAATTCTATCACCTTTTGCTCACCAAACTCTGCAATCCCATGATTTTCTCCTCCCCATCCTCAGGCTTCCTACCTGCTTCCGTTTTTCCTTACATCTACTAGTTATCCTTCTATTTCTTTTTAATATATATCCTTCTATTTCTAATCAGCTACTAGTGAATGAATTTTTTTCTTACAGTTTATTATACATATGACTTCCGCAGTAAATAGTGTTAAATGGTAACTTGTGAAGAATGGATACAAATTAAGACTATATTAGACATATACAGATAAAAAAGGTTTGGTGGCCCAGTGTCAAGAGCTGTGCTGTATTGCCAAAGGTTTCAATGCACCAGTTGCTGAAGAGCTGGATTTGAGAAGACGAAGGATAGGCAACCTCCTCCTCTGTGATTTACTGCCTCAGAAAACTCACTGGAGGGTCAGCTATGAGTCAGTTTTGACTTGACAGCATACAACTCAGTGTAACTCACTTTTTGTTGTTGTGTATCGTGGAATTGGATTCACTGGCACAGAAGGAGCTTGCACCTACTTCTCCAGCAGAGCATCTGGCAGATTCAAACCGCACATCTTTGGGATTGCAGCGCAGTTTTTTTATTCACCAGGCCACCAGAGCTCCCTTGGTATATAACTCATTTCTATAATCTATGTATTTCCAGTATTTTACACACTACATCATTTATCTTGTTCAAAACAATTGGCCTTTTTTTTTTTAAAAAAAAAATCTCCTCCTGGGCAATTAACTGTCTCTGAAAACTCACTGGAGGGTCAGCTATGAGTCAGTTCTCACTCTATGATACACTACCACCACCACCACCAAAACAATACCACAACCTCAATAAATGTCTTCTGAATTGTGCCTGTGGTTGTTTTAATTCTCTCAACCTCTAAAAGGAAACAGAATTTAATTTTTTCTCATGTTGTTTTGAGGAGCCCAGTCTTCACTTTGCTTAAAATACACAAAACCTAACAGCTGGGAGCTCTGGTGGCATAGTGGCAAGAAGCTGCGCTGCAATCCCAAAGGCACGTGGCTTGAATCCACCAGATGCTTTGCTGGAGAAGGAGGAGCAATCTCTTACTGTACCAGTCAGATCCAATTCAATGGTACACACACACACACAAAACAGTAAAATAATAAATACAAAACAAAACAAAAAACCTAACAGCTGTTACCACTGAGTTCTGCTAGAAATTAAAGCAAAACACTCTAGAGATTTATTGCCTTTATTAATCAGATAAGAAATAGATGTAGTTGGGGATTTATTTAATTTATGTCCTATGTGATAGTTTTAAATGTTACAAAAATCTGACTTTCCTAACAGAAATGTTTTCTTATTCCTCAAAGCAGGTAAAGGCAGAGACTGCGGATGTCTGTCCAATAGCTACCTTCTCCTTCCCTTAATAAAGGAACCCCTAATTATGGAAAACAGAAGTATTTCCTAGGTGAGCTCTGGTGGCCTAGTGGCAAGAAGCTGCACTGAAATCCTAGAAGTACGCGGTTTGAATCCACCAGATGCTCTGCTGGAGGAGGAAAAATCTCCTCCTGTACCAGCCAGATCTGATTTGACAGTATACACACACAAAATAATAAAAATAAAATAAAATAAAAAAAGAAGTATTTCCTAATAAAAATATTACATATTTCCAAGCAGGTAAAGGCAAAGACTGTGTAGTCTGTACAATATCCACTCTCTCTTTCTTCCTCAATAAATGAACCCCTAATTATGGCAAATAGCAACATGTCCAGTTTTAACTTTTCAGTCTCCCTTGACAAAAATGAATAACCAAAAGCATAAAAAGCAGAGACTGTTGAGTGGGATGGGGTGGGTCTGCAAAGCTCTTGCAAAGGACCTGACTCAAACATACTGAGAAGAAAGCAGAAAGAATCCAAGTCTCTGATGGCTCTACCAACGAAGTACTTCACTTCCTGTGAACTTCTTTACCTAAGAGAAAAATCAATTTCTATCTTGACTAAGATTTTAGAATTTTTATTTTTCCTTCCCTAGTCAAACCTAATCCTAAATTTTGGTTAACTTGCAAATCTGGGCATAATATCCTCCTTTTTAAGCACAAGGTGAAAGTCAGACCCCTTAGAAAAAGAATTTTGGCAAAATTTCCTAAATTTGCTTATAATACTTTACAGAGCAATTTAAAATGAGAAAATTTTTTTTTCTTGTTTTTGAAAATCTTTAGTATCAATCTAGCAACAAGTTTTTACCAGAAGTTTCCATGTTTACAAAGAAGTAAAAAAACATTGTTGGTTAATTTCTGTAATTTCTAACTCCTGCTAAGGCAAAGACCTAAGCAACTGTTAGTAACTGAATACTGCTTCTTAAAAGTACACTGTTAATAGTGCTCTGGTGGCCTTGTGGCAAGAAACTGCACTGCAATCCCAGAGGTACATGGTTCGAATCCACCAGATGCTCTGCTGGAGAAGGAGGGGCAATCTCTTCCTGTACCAGTCAGATCCAATTTGATGGTACACACAATAATAGTAATAATAATAATAATAAAATAAATAATTATTTTTACTTTGTTACTTGAGAGCATTATGCTAAGTGAACTAACTCAGTCCCATAAAGACAAATACTGTATAAGGCCATTATTGTAGAACAAGTATGAGGATCCAAGGGGAAGGGAGCAGAAGGGTTAGGATATGGGAGAGTGAAAAGGTGGGAGTAGGGAGGGTGTTAATCATAGCATCACACACTTTGATGAATGGAGGGAGGAGTGGCTAAAGGAAATAGGAAAGATCTGATGTGAAAAACTATACAAACTTTGTAAGTAATCCAGTTGTTGTTGTTGTTAAGTGCTGTCATGTAGATAGCTCATAGCGACCCTATGAACAAAAGCCCCCAACACTTGCATGACTTTCATCCTTTTCTAGGTTCATAGGGTTTCCGGAGCAAGCTATTTACGGAAGTGAAAGCCACTCCTGCTTCCAAGCTTGTTTTAATCGGGGAGCTCCACCAAACACAAGTTACCTCTGTATGACAAGTGGATACAACAGGGCTCTACAACCTAGTAGAATGTTTGACCCAAAACAATTTTATTTTTATTTTTTTTTTTTTTGACCCAAAACAATTAAATATAGGCCTGAGGACTGTGGATTAGAGTCACCTACCTTTGTAATCCAGTATAAAATAAACTTTTTTTTTTAAGTACCTTGTTGTTTTTGTGTACTATAGTAGACACTCCAACAGGTTTTTAGAAGCAGTTAATCACATAGGAGAAGATAGCTCATCTTTCTCTCATGGAGCAGCTGGTGGATTTGAACTTCGTCCCTTCAGGATTGCAGGGCAGCTTTTTACCACTAGACCTACTAGTACTAGACCTACAAGTACCCTGAGACTTCCAATACCCTAAAGGAGGCTACCGGATGCTCAAGACAACTTCTAGGTTACTCTGTGGTGTCTATGTGGGAGAGAGTCTAGGTTTAACATGTTAGTGTAGAAAGTGTTCAAATTGGTGTCCTATAAGAAATCTGAAGGACAACTACCAGGCCAACTGACTGGAAAAGATCCATATTTATTCCCATTCCAAAGAAAGGTGACCTGACAGTTTGGAAATCATCATACAATATCACTCATATCACATGCAAGCAAAATTCTGCTGAGGATTATCCAGAAATGACTAGAACAGTAGAGAACTACCTGAAATACAAGCTAGGTTTAGAAGAGGCCATGGCACTATGGACATTTGTGCCAAGATGGATCTTGGCAGAAAGAGTATCAGAAGGATATCTATCTGTGTTTCATTGACTAAGCAAATGTACTTTACTGTGCAAATCACAACAAATTG